GCGCTCTTTCTCCTGAGAGCCGGCTCAGCCCTGCAGGATGCTCTCTTCTTGCACTGATCATCTGCTGCTTTATACGGAAGGCCTTCAAGTGCCTCTCCTGCCTCCACCCCCTGCCCTTCTAGGCTGTAGCCTCCTTGGCGGCACAGACTGGTGCCCTGTTTCCATATCCCTCACGCTGTCCAGTTCAGCACTCAGCAAACATTAGCTAAGTGCAAGATGCATCCTCAGGTTTCTAAGTCAGACCAGGGCTTCATAGCAGCTCTACTGGCATTTGGGCTGAACAGTTCCTTGTGGTGGGGGCTGTTCTGTGCACTGTGAGACGTTCCGCAGCATCCGTGTGGCCTCTCTCCACTTGATGCCAATACCAGCCTTCCCCCTCTCCCGTCCTCACCCAGGTATGAAAGCCAAAACGAACTCCAGACATCGCCAAATGTCCCCTGGGGGGGAACCACCCTCAGTCAACAACCACTGCTCTACACCAATAGTTCTCCGCCTGTCCACCCATTTAGATTCGCCTAAACGTTTACCCTCAGCCTGGACGTCAGGGGGACCTAGATCAAATCCTGGCTCTGCCACTCCCTTTGCAACCCTGGACAATTCGCTTCACTTTTTTTAGCCTGTTTTATCATCTTAAGATGAATAAATACCACTTCTCACACACACTTGTTGTGAAGATTAGATGGTCTGCAGTGTGACCTAGAAAGAGTTTAATAAATGGTCTGAGTGGAATTTCCTTTTTTTTTTTTTTTTTTTTGGACGGAGTTTCGCTCTTTTTACCCAGGCTGGAGTGCAATGGCGCGATCTCGGCTCACCGCAACCTCCGCCTCCTGGGTTCAGGCAATTCTCCTGCCTCAGCCTCCTGAGTAGCTGGGATTACAGGCACGCGCCACCATGCCCAGCTAATGTTTTTTGTATTTTTAGTAGAGACGGGGTTTCACCATGTTGATCAGGATGGCCTCGATCTCTTGACCTCTTGATCCACCCGCCTCGGCCTCCCAAAGTGCTGGGATTACAGGCTTGAGCCACCGCGCCCGGCCTCTAAAGTTGCTCCTGAAGCACCAGAGCGAGGAACTGAGGAAAGCTCGCTGTGCCGCCAGGGGGCGCCACCACAAACCACATCGGATGAGTGGCGCCCGGCTCCAGCCTTGTTTCCCGGCCAAAGTTTGCAATGTGGGCCTGCGTCTGAGCTACTTAGTGGCTGGAGGAAATAATAGCTCCTCCATTCCCAAAATAATTTTCAGAATAAAATCTAATCTTATTTTATATGCTCCCCCCACCTTTTTTTGAGACGACGTCTTGCTCTGTTGCCTAAGCTAGAGTGCAGTGATGTGATCTCGGCTCACTGCAACCACCACCTCCTGGGTTCAAGCGATTCTCCCGCCTCAGCCTCCCGAGTAGCTGGGGCGGCTGGTCCCCACCAACAAGCCCAGCTAATTTTTGTTTTTAGTAGAGACGTGGTTTCGCCGTGCTGGCCAGGCTGGTCTCCAACTCCTGATCTCAAGTGACCCTCCCACCTCGGCCTGCCAAAGTGCCAAAGCATAAACCAACGTCCCCGGTAGCTAGCATTATTTATTATTTATTATGTCGCTGATATTGTCGAAAAATCTGCCATTGCGAGCTCCTTCTGGTTGGTTTCTGTGCCTTTTGACACAACTCCATCATTTTTCAAGCAGTTCCTTACTTCTGGCCCCACAAGATGCTCCAGGCTCCTCTTGGGCTTTCCTGACCCAGCTCTGGATCAGCTGCTTCTCCAGGGAGCCCTGGTTCCTTTCATGGGGAAATGGTGTTTGCAGACCATATCCCACTGCTAGTAGGTGCCAATGCTTCTATGCTCTCTAGTGGCCGGAGCTGAGAAATAACACACATGCACGCTAGTGTGTTGTTAGTCATATTTCACAAATTAGGTAAATGAGGCACGAGAAAATGTAGGCGACTTGACCAACATCACAGAGAAAATAGGTAGTGAAACTGGGAAATAAAAACGACGGATGCGCCACAAATCCTAACAAACGAAATTAACTTTTTTTTTTTTTTTTTTTGAAACAGATTCTCATTCTGTCGCCAGGCTAGAGTGCAGTGACACGATCTCGGCTCACTGCAACCTCCGCCTCCTGGGTTCAAGCGATTCTCCTACCTCAGCCTCCCGAGTAGCTGGGATTACAGGTGCCCGCCACCATGCCCTGCTAATTTTTGTATTTTTAGTAGAGACGGGGTTTCGCCATGTTGGCCAGGACGACTCGATCTCCTGACTTCATGATCCCCCCACATCAGCCTCCCAAAGTGTTGGGAGTACAGGCGTGAGCCACCGTGCTCGGCAGAAGCGAAAGTAATTTCTTCACACATGCGCGTTAGCAGAAAGCCACAAGCCCAATATTCCAGCATAGACACTCTCTGGAAAAAAACCAGAATTCTATAGCAATAACCATGATGATAACCATCATATACTCATCACCCACCTGCACTGGGCTCCCACAGCAGCTCATTCATTCCTAACAAGTCTGCAAGGTGGATTTTACCGTTCTCATTTTACAAATCAGGGATTCAACGCTCAAAGAAGCCAATGACTTGTCTAAGTCAACACAGTTAAGTGACAGAGCCAGTAGCTGACCCTAGATCTATCTGAATATAAAGTCCATGCTTATTCCACTATATCAGCGTTTCCCAAAACTGATTTTAGGTGAAACATAAATAAATTTTGTTTAACTTTAACCTTTTAATGAGTGATAGGGAAAAACATCAGCTCACATCAAATCTGCAATTTCATGAACAATATTGCCTAAGATGAAAATATTTCGTCTTCAGCTCCTGGCCTCAAGCAATCCTCTCCTCAGCCTCTTGAGCAGCTGGAATCACAGGTGTGAGCCACTGAGCCCTGCTAAGACAAGGATGTTTTGTAAACTAAATTTAATTATTTTTAAAAAAGTATAAAGGTGGTGCAAGCTATAGAGAAAATCACAACGTCAGTCTGAGGTCTGGGTGACATACCACCACAGCACCATGCAGCTTCATTCTCAGCCACTCCCAGGAAATTAGGGTCACATAGCACTGCAGAAAGAACAAATAAGACTCTTAAGACCTGGGCTCTACCCCTAGATGTGTCCATTCCTAGGACCCCAAACATCTCTGTGACCTCCTTTCTGGGAGGAAATCCAACCTTTGTGAGAACACTGGGAGCATCCTGGACACATAGAGGGGTTTCTCTGTCACAGAGAAAATGACACCAGGTTTGAGGATAGCAGGGACTCTGCCTGGTGCTGACAGACCCAAGACCAGACACAGCAGAGGTCAGCACTGGGGGGGGGGGATGGTCCTGTTATGGGACAGGGGTCCAAATAAACCTTGCTTCTCAGAGCCTCTTCTGGGGAGCTGAATACAGACAGAAAAGGAAGAGGAGGAGGGACAAAAGAGGCAGAAATGAGAGGGGAGGGGACAGAGGACTCCTGAGCAGAGACCGCACCCATGACCCATGTGACCCTGGAAAGTGCTCCCGCCCCGGGAGGAGGCTCAGCACAGAGGGAGGAAGGACAGCAGAGCCGAGAGTCACAGCAGCCCTGACAAGAGCGTTCCTGGAGCCCAAGCTCCCCTACACAGAGGACGACAGAGAAGACAGCAGAGACCATGGGGCCCCTCCCAGCCTCTCCCTGCAGACTGCATGTCCCCTGGAAGGAACTCCTGCTCACAGGTGAGGGGAGGACTCCCTGTGAGTGTGTGGGAGGAGGGAGCACAGAGACTGGCTGGGGTCTCCTGGGGAGGACAGGGCTCTGGGAGGGGACAGAGGGCTTCTGTTGATGGCTGAGGAGACAGAACACCAGAAAGGCACAGGGGTCACAACAGGAAAGTCACATTGAACTGGGACTGAAAAAAAGGAGGAAAATCAATTCAAAATGTTTTTCAAGTTAATCATCATTGGTCACTACAATCTGAAAAATGATAGGAATAAGAACTACATCAGGGTGACACTCCAAATAAAAATAGAACCAGGGCACTAAACAATGCCCTTACCCACCAATCCAAAGTTGAAAAATAACCACCAGGTACACTCATTAACTCAGCCACCAGTATTTGCAGTTTTAGTCGGTGACATACAACAAGCACCAGACCAGTCTCTGCCCTCATGGAGCTCACGCTGTCATGAAGAGGAAAACACACACACAAAGAGATCTAGAGTGTGAGGTCCGGTGTTGACAAGCGCCCTGGAGGGAACAGAGCCGGGAAAGGTCAGAAAGGGAAGACCCAGGGTCTCCAGAGGAGGTGTCGGGGAGGGGTCTCCCTAAGATGCCCTGATGTGAGCAGGATCTGAGGGTGGTGGGGAGGGAGCCGTGCAGACCCCTGGGGAAGGGCATTCCAGAGAAATGACAAGGTCAGAGGCATTTAAGGGAATGGGAGTCACCCCTGGGGAAGAGGATTCCACACAGGGAAATGCCAAGGCCAGAGGTGCTGAAGGAATGGGGGTCACACTGCTGACCTTGGTCCAGCAGGACACACGCACACACACACACACACACACCCTAAGGTGGAGGGGTGGAGACCTACTCAGGACCCAGGGCCCCATCCTTCCATCCCAGTGCACAGTCCTAATACTGACTGATGCTCTCTCCTGTCTCCTAGCCTCACTTCTAACCTTCTGGAACCCGCCCACCAGTGCCCAGCTCACTATTGAATCCATGCCATCCAATGCTGCAGAGGGGAAGGAGGTTCTTCTACTCGCCCACAATCTGCCCCAGAATATTGCTGGCTTCAACTGGTACAAAGGGCAAAGCGTGGACGGCAACCGTCGAATTATAGGATATGTAATAGCAACTCAACTAACTACCCCAGGGCCCGCATACAGCGGCCGAGAGACAATATACCCCAATGCCTCCCTGCTGATCCAGAACGTCACCCTGAATGACACAGGATTCTATACCCTGCAAGTCATAAAGGCGGATCTTGTGAATGAAGAAGCAGCTGGCCAGTTCCGTGTATACCGTGAGTATTTCCCCATGACCTCTGAGTGTTGCGGTCAGTCTGCTTCCCACACACGGGATTCTCAGGGCTGGGCTGTGCCTGTGTCCCCCTCTGCATTACATCCTGTGTTAGGGTTTGGGTATTTAGTGCAGGACACACACAGGGGAGATGAACTTCCACAGATCAGAATCCCCTTCCTGCATCCAGACCCTGCAGACACTCGCTGCAGAGGAAGGACAGTCTGATGGGGGGACTGAGCAGGGGGAGGTCCATCTCAGCCAAGCACCCCATGGTCTCCCCATGCACCTGACCCTGAGAAGACCCTGGAGAACTGGGTCAGGGCTGGCCTGAGGGGCCCCCTGGGATCCTCACTGAGAAGCTCTACTCTTCCTAGAGCTGAGCCCCTGTGCAAAGCCTTGTCCTTGGTTCCTGATTCCAGGTGATCCTGGGGAGTCTGTGCCAGGGCTGTGTGGTATCCTCCTGGGCAGGGCTGACTGGGAGCAAGGATGTGACTATCCAAGGGCCATGACTCCTGGAGTTGGCCACCAGCCGGGGCCCAGCACCCAGAGCCTCATCCAGTCAAGGACAGGACCTCTTCCTTCACTTGAGGCTCAACATGGAAAGGACAAGTGGAAAAAATTACTAGGGCATGAGCCCACTGCCCTGGGGGACACAGGTGGCTCCCTGGGAAGTTCAGAGTCCCCAGAGGGAGGAACAGAGAAGAGAGGACGCTCCTGGCAGCTCCTTGTCCACCAGGGATCAGGCCCAGGGCCCTGTCTCTTGAAGGCAAATAATCATAGGTGCTCTTCACTTGGACAGCTCCTCTGTGCAGAGCTGAGATCAAGTAATTATAAATATTTTGAGGTTAATTCACAAACAACCTCACAGCCAAATAGCATTTATCCTACTTATTGAAAGGAAATTGAGGGGCAGGGAGACAGTCACTAACAAGGGTCACACAGGCCATAGGTGGCAGATTAGAGACATGTGAGGCCCGTCTGCAGCGAGAGCCGCCTCCTCTCCTCCACCGGGGGTGGGGGGCTGTTTGTTATGAGGCATCTGCAGACCGATACCCGTCGCGCGTTTGCTTTCTTTCGTCTTGGGCATCCACAGCTCAGAGAGGGAGATTCTGGTCTGGAGAGTGAGAAGTAAATAGAGAATTAGTCAGTTTTACACTAGAACTAAATCACCTTAACTGGCAAGGTCAATGTTGGGATTGTCCAGGCCTCTCCCCTCAATCCACAACCCTGTCACTGCACCTGAAATCCTGTTTCCTGATGTGTCAGTATCATGGAAGGAAAAAGGAGAGGACTTTGCCTTCTATCCCTATTCACACCCTGCACCAGCAGAGGCCCAAAGGGAGACACACGCTCACTCAGGACTTCCCTCATGAGGAAGGGAAGAAAGGAGGAAGGAGGCCGGGCGTGGTGGCTCACGCCTGTAATCCAAGCACTTTGGAGGTCAAGGCGGGCAGATCACCTGAGGTTGGGAGTTCAAGACCAGCCTGACCAATATGGTGAAACCCCGTCTTTAAAAAGAAAAAAAATATTTAAAAAAAAAAAAAAAGAAAGGAGGAAGGAATGAATGAAGGATCCATAACCTCTTAGAGACCAGTTCCTGGATGCAGAATCGAAGGAAGTTCTGGCCACACCTGTTTTTTTTTTTTTGTTTTGTTGTTTTGTTATTGTTTTTGGAGACAGAGTCACACTCTGTTGCCTAGGCTGGAGTGCAGTGGTGCCATCTCGGCTCACTGCCACCTCCACCTTCCAGCTCAAGCGATTCGTGTGCCTCAGCCTCTGAGTAGCTGGGATTACAGGTGCATACCCCCATGCCTGGCTAATTTTTGTATTTTAGTAGAGATGGGGTTTCTCCATGTTGGCATAGCTGGTCTCGAACTCCTGACCTCAGGTGATCTTCCCACCTCGACCTCCCAAAGTACTGGGATTACAGGCATGAGCCACTGAGCCTGGCCAGCCACACCTGTTTCTTGTCCCTCAGGGACTGAGCTCCATGTTCCATCCCTCTGAACCCCTGTCCCTAAAGCTACCCCATCTCATGTGACTCGGGGGTTTCTTGGTCATTGGAGGGTTTTCAGGTCTCCCTGCTCCTGGTCTAAGGCAGCAAAGGGGCTCCTGGGCCATGGGGTCTCTGAGCTCACTGTAGCTCCCACCGCTTACTGCCGTAAATATCTCTGGCTCTTTCTGCCCCTCCGTGTCCCTCATCTTCCTCTACCTTCATTCTAGCTGGGATGCCCTGCCCTGCACAGCTTCCTCCCACTCTTAGGCCTTCCGCAGAAAATCCCTCTAACAAGGCTGGCTGTCCTGTCCCCTTCCCACTCACACTGTGTCCTGATCCACCTCCCAGGCAATAGGGAAGGCACAGAAATCAGCCTTAGCAGCTGCTCCTGCCGGGCTCCATCATAAGCCAATGTTCCCAGATCACCAGGAGAACGAGCTTCCATTGTGTCCCTGCCCAGGGTTCTTTCCCCCAGTGAGGCCGACATGTGGAATAGGCCATGGGACAGGGACAATCAACTCCTCCATCCACTCTCTACACTGACTCACCAGGGGGTCAGAGGCAGAAGGACAGGTCTGCAGTCCCCAAAGCCCACGTGCTCATTTCACCCATTTGACTCCCGTCCTCATCTTGGAGTCTCACGTCCCCCAGTCATTCCTGGGACCTTCCCCAGCTGGAGCTGGCCAGGCAGGTGCTGTCTGATGGGTTTCCTGCCCATGCCACATACACCTGCATCCTCACCATGATGCCATTGCCATAAGGTGGGGTTCACTAGACTGAGAAGTGCACCAGTCACTGGAATCGCACACAGACTCTGCCCAGGTCAGATGAGCTTAAACTCTAGTTGTGTTTTCTGAGGTTGAGAGGAGAGGAAGAGAGCATTTCACATGCCTGTTTTGGGCTCCTCCCCTATTTGCCTAACTCTGCACAGGAATGGGGGGCAGGGAGCACTTTCTAAATTTGCTAACATAACACAGACCACTTCTGCTAATTTGGCATCATCCTCCATTTATGCAATTGACACACCTAAGACTTCCTCTCTGACCGGTTCTACTCCCCTAAAAGGACTCGTAGGCTTCTCCCTACTCAGGGAGTTGCTAATTTCAAACCAACTTCAGCATCTTCATTTGAGGACAATGTGATCCTGCTGGAATTCACAGCACACCTAAACCTTAGTATATTATCAAGAAAAAGACTACTACTTCCAGCAATTGATCTTCAATCTTTAGGTCATTAATAACAATCTCCACTTATGGAAAAAAATGTTCCCCCCCAGTTTCTTTTATTTTTTACTATATTCAGAACATAACATGAGGTCTAAGGTCTAAACACGTTTTTTTTTTTTTTTTTTTTTTTTTTTTTTTTTTTTGAGACAGAGTCTTGCTCTGTCTCCCGGACTGGAGTGCAGTGGTGTGATCTTGGTTCACTGCAATCTCCCCTCCTGGGTTCAAGTAATTCTCCAGCCTCAGCCTCCCAAGTAGCTGGGACTACAGGCATGCTCCACCACACCCAGCTAATTTTCGTATTTTTAGTAGAGACGGGGTTTCACCATGTTGGCCAGGATAGTCTCGATCTCTTGACCTCATGATCCACCTGCCTTGGCCTCCCCAAGTGCTAGGATGAGGGTGTTTCTCCATATTACACCTGCAATCTATAGATAGGAGTGTGATTGGGGGGGGGGGTTAATCTTTAACTTCCAGACTTTGCTACTGACCTCATGCCTCCTATGTCTCAACTTTTACTTCCTCCTCCATTGAGACAAGAGACAGGAAAAAGGAGTCTCTTCCCTCACCAAGCCTTATGCATGAGTGATACTCAGTCTGTATGAACTATAGCACCAAGCTGAACAGCAAATCTCTAGAACCTCCTCATCCTACGTAACTGAAAGTGCACACCTACTGACCAACTCCCCATTCTGCCTCTCCCAACCCTTGGCCGCCACCATTCTACTCTGATTCCATGAGTATGACTACTCTAGGGACCTCATGTAAGTGGAATCCTATGGTATCTGTCCTGTGAGTGACTTATTTCATTTAGCACAATGTCCAATGAAAGAAAATATTTGCAAAACTTCTTCCCAAATTTCTGTCTCATACCTGTCAAACACACAGGATCCTTGAGGGTCAGATTTCCAGCAGCTCATGCTCCCTCTTTCCACCACTCAGTTCTGCATTTGCAAACGTCCACATGTATTTCTAGAAAGATCCACAGCGTCCTCACCTGCCCTCTGCAGAAGGAGAAGAAACATGAAAGGCCAAAGACAAGGAACACAGTTCTGCTGTTAAATTCAGGCAGCTCCTGCCTGTCCCCCTCACTCTCTTCTAGATCATTCTCTGAATCTGCTCTATCTTTAGGGGTCACTGGCTCAAGTCAGTCATTATTAAACACCTGGGAAAAACTTGTGGTTCCACTGCCTGATGGCTGAACTGACCTCCAGGCTGGCCCCTTGTGTCCCCTGTGCTATTTCTGCTGAAACATCCAGTCCCAGGCCAGGCTGCACAGTTTTTTCCTCGGGGTTTAAGGACAATAAGAAGTCCCATCATCACCCATCACGAGAATGTTCTTGGAAAAGGAAGCCACACAGAAAACACCGCTAGGGGGGTGCACAGTAGGACTGAAGCTTGAAAAGACCCGGCACCTGAATGTTTCAGGTGAGGACCCCAAGGGAAGCCAGGCAGTCAGCTGGTCAGGGAGTAACCAGGAGAAGCACCAGGGGCTGTGACCCCGGGTCCTGAGTCTGTCTATGACTCAATGGTGCTGCTCAGTTCACACTTGAGAAAGTCTGTGCTTCTCCCACAAAGGGCAGGTGTTCTCACACAATCTGAGCCTCAGATCCTCGTGCTTCTGTCTTGTGACACATTTATCTGCCATAGGTTTTTAAGGATTCAAGTGGGCTGAGAGGTGAGGGATGCCAACTCTGATTGAAAGATGCCCGTGGAGGAATCACAGGTGCCACACAGGGCAATCTTCTGTTTTCTGCACAGCGGAGCTGCCCAAGCCCTCCATCACCAGTAACAACTCCAACCCCGTGGAAGACGAGGATGCTGTGGCCTTAATCTGTGCGCCTGAGATTCAGAACACAACCTACCTGTGGTGGGTGAACAATCAAAGCTTCCCAGTCAGTCCCAGGCTGCAGCTGTCCAGTGACAACAGGACCCTCACTCTACTCAGTGTCACAAGGAATGACGCAGGACCCTATGAGTGTGAAATACAGAACCCAGTGAGTGCGAACCGTAGTGACGCAGTCACCCTGGATGTCCGCTGTGAGTACCTTCTGTTCCTCTGTGACCCAGGCTGCCAGCCCAAATCCACATGGCCAGAGCCCAGGCCTCTCAGTCCCTCTCAGATCCAAGGACTCGGATCCTCACCCAGGCTGGCCATGACTTCCTGCCCCAGGCAAACCTGAGCAGACCAGGCCTTGACCAGTAACAGGAGGGGAGGGGCTGCTCCTGTCCTGGGAGGCTCAGAGTTCACATTTTCTAATGGGACAAACAGGTGAATGTCTCAGACTTTGGCTAAGGGGACTAGCGGGTGTTTGGTTGAGACTTCAGGGTTGTGATATGACTCAGGCGGACGCTGTGGCCCTTCCAAAGACCAGGAACGTCTGCTTCCCTCTAATGACATCACCTGTGGCTTTATTCTGTTTCCTGCAGATGGCCCAGATGTCCCCACCATTTCCCCCTCAAAATCCAATTACCGTCCAGGGGAAAATCTGAACCTCTCCTGCCACGCAGCCTCTAACCCACCTGCACAGTACTCTTGGCTTATCAATGGGACGTTCCAGCAATCCACACAAGTGCTCTTTATCCCCAACATCACTGTGGGTCACAGCGGATCCTATATGTGCCATGCCCATAACTCGGCCACTGGCCACAACCGCACCACAGTCAGGATCATCACAGTCTCTGGTAAGTGGATCCATAAAGCTTTGGCATCACGTTTTCAGGTGGAGTCTGGTTTTCAGAGAGGAACCAGGAAGAAATTTTCTTTCCCAATCTGTATTTAAGGGGCACAAGCAAATCCCACATTTTCCCCCGGAACCCTCCCAGTTCACCTCTGCAGACTCTCTCCCCCGTGTTTTTTTTATTTCTCATGTCTGACTTTGGGCCATCCTGAAATGCAAGGAGAGGGTTCCCTCAGCCCTGAGCACTGTGAAGTAAAAGGGGCTTCACAGAGGAAGAAGGAGAAAGGGTCCTCAGGGGCAAGTTGCTTCTCTCTGTCACCAACAATTCCCTTTCTGTCACCTCTTTGTGTTCTTTTACCTACTTCATAAGCTACAAGGGACAGGAGGCTTTGAAATGAGCTCGCATGTTTTCCTTAAAAGAGAGGAGGAAGCCCCTTGGGTGATGGAAGAACAGCTCAGACTGCCCCCGTCTCTGCTCCCAGCTCTCCCAGTGACTGACCCTGCCCTGAAGCCACCTAAGGTGGGACAGGGCATATGGAGAAGGTGCCCAGGGGGTCTGTCCTGAATCAGGCAAAATCAAGCTGCAAATAAATCAACACCAAAGCCTCCCCTGGGTCAGGCTGCAGGAAGATGGAAAGATGTGGAGCCTCAGGGCAGACTCCGGAGCTTGTCCTGGCTCTGAAGTCACCAGCTGTATGAGGCTGTGGGAACAGCACATGGGACACAGCACAGAGGACAGTGTGTGATGCTCTCTTGGAGAAATCAGGAGATTCACTCACAGGGACCCTGCATGGAAGGGAATGAGCAGTGTGAAAAAGTGTGTATTTACAGAGAGGGTAAGACTACCAGCCACTTTTTCGCCCGGGTTTTTTGAAAAGACGGGGTTCCCCAGGGAGGCCAGGCTGGTCTTGAACTCCTGACCTCAGGTGATCCACCCACCTCGGCCTCCCAAAGTGCTAGGATTACAGGCATGAGCCACCGCGCCCAGCCTGACTACCAGCCACTTTATATCTAAATAGGACTTACCATTTTAACCTTTCCCTGTGTGCAGGTCTGTGGTATTAAACACATTACCACTGGCTACCATCACCACCGTCCACCCACAGAACTCTTTTCTTCCTCTCAAAATGAAACTCTGTTCCCATCAAACTCCTGGCCAGAGCTAGGAGGATCATTTGAGCCCAGGCGGTTGAGCCTGCAGGTAGGCTATGATCGAAGCTCTGCGCTCCAGCCTGGGTTGGGCTACACTTTTTGGCACTGCCCATGCCCGTCCATGCAGAGTCTCCGTGAGTGTGCAACAAATTGGATAACCTAGATGAAATGGACAAATTCCTGGGAACACACAAAAAATCTGAATAGACCTATAAGTAGTAACAATATTTAGCCAATCAATTATTAATCACACTCTTGTAATCATTATTATTCATCACACTCTTGCAATCATTATTATTCCTGTAGAATTGGTAGTAGCAATGTTATCATTTTCTCTCTTTCTTTCTTTTCTTTTTTTTTTTTTTTTTTTTTTTGAGAGTAGGTCTCACTCTCTAGCCCAACCCAGGCTGGAGTGCAGGGGTTTGATCATAGCTTACCTGCAGGCTCAGCCCCCAGACTCAAATGATCTGCCTACCTCAGCCTCCTAAGTAGCTGAGTCAACCCCCTGGGCTCAAGTGATCCTCCTACCTCAGCCTCCTGCAGAGCTGGGACTATAGGCATGTGCCAACATGCCCGGCTAGTTTAAAAAAAAAAATTGTAGAGACTGTATCTCCCTATGTTGCATAGGTTGGTCTTGACCTTCTGACCGCAAGCAATCCTCTTGCTGTGATCTACCAGGGTGCTTGAATTAAAGGTGTGAGCCACCATGCCCCCATTTTCATTTATGATTTTAGTAATTTGAATCTTCTCTCTTTTTCTCATAGTCAATCTAGTAAATGTCAATTTCGTTGATCTGTTTTGAAGAACCAACTTTTGGTTTCCTTATCCCCTTTATTGTTTTTCTAGCTTCCATTTTATTTATTTCAACTCCAATTATTGTTTCCTTCATTCACTGTCTTTGGGTTGAGTTTGTTCTTTTTCTATATCCTGAATCTGTAAAGTTAGGTTGTTGATTTGAGGTCTCTCTCTTTATTTTAATGTATGTACCACTATCAATTTCTTACATAAGATTTTTAACTTCTCTGAGCCTTCAGTTCTTCAACTGAAAATTGCAATAATTCTCATCACTAGGAAATGAATGGGAAAAAATGAAAATTGAAATAACAGTGCCTGTTCCATAGTATTGTTTTCAAGATTTCATGTAATATTTGATTCAGACTTCAGCAAAATGCCACACACAAAGAAAAGCTTCATACATATTAGCTATTATTATTAATACTGTTACCATTACCCTTGAAGTCAAGTAGTTCTAGAGCCAAATCCCAAATCTATCTGTCACTAACCATACGACTTTGGATAAGTTTTCTCATCACTCTAAGCCTCTGTCTTTTCATCTGTAAAATGGAAATTATGTCTACCCAAGAGGGGTTCTTGTATAAATCAAATGAGATACAGGTAAAGTATTCAGCACAGGGCCTGGCACGTAGGAGGTACCCCTCAACAGTAGCTAACATAGTGTTAATCATCAGCCTGAATTGACTGGTGAGGAATAAGCACCAAATGGAAACCCACCAGGACATGGTTACTGACTAAACATGGGAGAGAGGAGACAGAGTGCAAAGAATCAAGCCTGGTATGTTAGCTTTCATCCACTGAGATGCAGCCACAATGGGATTAGAGGTGCAAGATAATTCACTGGGGAAAGCTGTCGTGAAAGAAGGTGGAGTGGCAGTGAGGGGAGCCTAAGAGAACCCTCAGACCATGATGCAGATCTGATTCCTGAGAAGGAGAAGGAGAAGGAGGGAAGTTTTAGATAGCAGTGCCATTCTGAGTTTCCACAAGACCGATGGGGAGTCCTTGAACCCCTCACCCATGACAGCGAAGCGGGGTCTCAAAGAGCTGCGCTTGCTTTCATTCCCCTGGTGGGAGCCCATAAGAAGTGAGTTATCTGTGCAAATAACATGGTAAATTCATAATGCACTAGCCTGGGCCTTCTGTCAATCAAGTCCCTGCCATAGAGACCCAACAGGCTCTTATTCATGGCTTCCACAATTGAGACACAGAAAAAGATGCAACTATGAAAAGATAGAAAGTTCTAATGAAATGCAAAAATAGCAATCCGTCTTTCTCAAATTTCAAAGCCTTCAGAAATATCTGAGTGCAGAAAGACCAGGATGAAATTGACAGAAGACTGATCACCAACCTAGAAACCTAGTAAGAGAGAAAAAAATGGCAACCTTCCCACAAAACTAGTGTATTCCTTGAAGAAACAAGTCAATACTACTTCATGTTGAGAGCTGGTTCTTGGGGCACCCCACTGTAAAATAACATCACCTTCATTCCTTCTCTTTTTTTTTTTTTTCACTACCAGATAGTTCTCCTGGCCTCTCAGCTGGGACCACTGTCAGCATCCTGATTGGAGTGCTGGCCAGCGTGGTTCTGCTATAGCAACCCTGGTGTATTTTCAGTATTTCAGGAAGACTGGCAGGTATGGTGGCCTTTCCTCTTGTCCTATTTCCTGCACAGCTGACCACGATGCTTGGGAGAGGGAAAAACTTTTTTACTTATATCTGGGACTGGATCTCCTCCTTCTACCCCAAAACTCCTGCTTCTCACACGAATTCCTGCTGGTCTCTTCTTCCCTACTCTTCATGCTCCCTGTACCCCACTGTCTATTAGACATAATGATCCCCAGCCTCTGCTCATTTGTTTCCCAGGTTCAATACATTGTCAGTGCCTCTTGGTCCTCTAGTAACATCTCTCACTTGGGTTCTTCTCTCCGTTCCCATAAACCTCAACAGCTGCTGAAAGTCCTGCTTGACCCCTTGTTGCCAGTGTCTGAAATCTTCCTTGCATATCACCTTCCTAAAATCTAGTTCACTTGCCTACTCAAGAAGCCACAGGGGCTACTGTGATCTATCAGATAAGTTCAAATTTCTTCTCTTTACTAATCCTTTCTACTTCCTTTACCTCTACTTTGCAGTATAATTCCTTTATCTTAGTTACACCTGACTCTCTACACATCCTGCCCCTTTACCCCCTATGCACATAGAATTCTTTTTTCTTGTTTTGTTTTGTTTTTTATAGTAGTGTGAAAACAGATGTACATAGAATTCTTAGTTTCAATGTTACACCTAAAAACAGGGTGATCTTCCCTCCACCACCTGTGCTGTGGACTCCCCCACACCGTTCATCACAAGCAACTTATGTCATGGAGAACAAAGACTGTGTAGCATTCACATGTGAACTTTGGACTCAGGACACATCTTGCATGTGCTGAGAACCCTTTACTGACAATCAGTTCATGTGTGCATAACAGATACGGAAATGAAGAAGGCATAAAGCATAGAACAGAAGACCAAAAAATAATCATAATACCCAACGAG